GGCGCTGTCCCTCAGCTCTTCAGCTCAAGGCGAGCGCTCTACCACTTGAGCTACAGCGCCACTTCCTTGACTATTCATTTTTATAATTTGGAGTAATCGCAACTGACGTGTTTACTGTTGTCATCAGGAATTGATCTAAGTGTTTTCTCTTTTTTTTTCAATGTTGTTTTGAATTCAAGATGCTTCTACCTTTTGAGTCACACTTCCAACCCTTTTTGCTTTCATTATTTTTTAGGTTTTTGTTTTTTTTTTGGTTAGAGTGGGCTTGGACTGTGATCTTCCTATTTATATTTCCCAAGTAGCTGCAGCTGATCCTATGTGGGTTTTTTTTTTTTGTTTTTTGTTTTGGTTGGTTGTGGGGCTTGAACTCTGGGCTTGGGCGCTGTCCCTGCGCTCTTCAGCTGAAGGTGAGCGCTCTACCGCTTGAGCCACAGTGCCACTTCCGGTTTTCGAGTGGTTTATTGGAGATAAGAGTCTCATGGACTTTCCTGCCTGAGCTGGCTTTGAACCATGATCCTCAGCTCTCAGCCTCCTGAGTAGCTAGGATTACAGGCGTGAGCCACCAGCGCCCGACCCTATGTGGTTTTTTTATTAATTAATCCTTGTAAGCAGCCTTGTGTGGGAAAAACTGTCTTTCACTTTATAGATGAGGAAACTGAAGAGAAGAAAGACAATAAAGATACCCAGTGTCATATTCAAGGAGAGATGTAGCTCCATTCAAACCCCGGCATGCTAGCCTTTGAATCTATGCATTTAACCACTATGCAAACTGCATTTCTTAGGCTGCTACAATTATGAATATATTCCTAATTTTTGTTTTCTTCTGTTATTTGGCTTCATACATTAACATTTAAATTTACCTGCAGTTAATTGTACTCATTTAATCTGAGTTTACTGAATTATGTTATTTTTTTACCTTCAAGCCAACGTAAGAAAACTCACAAGTACTTGGTAATGTAATAAACTGCCATCAGTAGGCTTGGACTCTATTATCAGCACCTTTAAACATTTTTCATCAGTCCTTTGCAGGGAGTCTAACTAAAGGCAAGGTTATCTGATACTTTTCAGTGCTAAGCCAGGTTAGCCAAGTTGGAGACTTGCAAAGTACCAGACATTTGGCATTAAGAAGAAAAGAGAAGAATGAGTGAAGTAAAGATATTTAAAAGGTACTGAAGAATAAGAACAAAAGAGGAAGCTGGGCGCTGGTGGCTCACGCCTGTAATCCTAGCTACTCAGGAGGCTGAGATCTGAGGATCATGGTTCAAAGCCAGCCCGGGCAGGAAAGTCCGTGAGACTCTTATCTCCAATAAAAACTACTAGAAAACCGGCAGTGGTGCTGTGGCTCAAGTGGTAGAGTGCTTGCCTTGAGCTAAAGAGCAAGGACAGCGCCCAAGTCCAGAGTTCTACAGAGTTCAAGCCTCACGACCGACCCCCCACCACCCCCCAAAAAAAAGAACAAAAGAGGAAAAAGCAAGACTTTTTTCTTTGATACTGGGGATTGAACTCAGGGCCTTGTAGTTACTAAGCAGGCAGTCTACCATTTGAGCCACATTCCTGGCCTTTTTTGTTTTTGTTTTGCTTTTTTAATTTGGATAAAATCTTGCATTTTTGTCCAGGGTTGGTTTTAGACTGAAATCCTCCAACTGTTGCCTCCTGAGTAGTTTGAATTACAGACATGCGTGTGATCATGTCCAGTTTATTGATTGAGATGAGGGTCTGGATAACCTTTTTCCTGATTAGACTTTGATCTTCTCAATCTCTGCCTCCTGAGTAGCTAGGATTACAGATGTATGCCACCACACCTGCTCCTAAAACATTTTTTAATAGTGAAGAAAAAAGAAGCTGGGTGCAAATGGTTCAGACCTATAATCCTAGGTACTTAGGAGGCTGAGATCCGATGATCACGGTTCAGAGCCAGCCAAGGCAAAAAAGTCTGTGAGACTCCTATATCCAATTAACTACCAGAAAATTACAAGTGGTGCTGTGGCTCAAAATAGTAGAGTATTAACCTTGAGCAAAGGAGCTCAGGGACAGCACCCAGATCCTGAGTTCAAGCCCGGGGATCAGAAAAAAAAATAAAAAAGGAAAAGAAACCAGTGGCAAACACCCTGTAAATAAAGTCCCAGGGAATGAAAAGGATAGGTAAGCTGGGCACCAGTGGCTCATGCCTGTAATCCTAGCTACCCAGGAGGCTGAGATCTGAGGATCTCGGTTCAAAGCTAGTCCAGGTAGGAAAGTCCATGAGAGTTTTATATCCAATTAACCACCAGAAATCTGGAAGTGGTGTTGTGGCTCCAGTGGTAGAGGGCCGGCCTTGAGCTGAAGACCTGAGGGAGAGCACCCAGGCCCAGAGTTCAAGCCCCATGACCAAAAAAAAAAAAAAAGTAAATTACCCCAGACTTTGAACTTTTCTTTTCAGTGGAAGATGCCATAAACTGAGGGGAGTTCTGTGATACCTGGCCAATATTAAATTTTCCTCCTCAAAAACTCAGTTATCTATTGTATTAAAATACAATGTAGATTCTCACCAATTTAGCTTCTAAGTTTTATTGTGACAATAATTAGGAAAAGGGGGTATTGAGGGTACGAAATGAAAGCAAAGCAAAGGTTGATGCAAAAGTAAAGTTTGGATTCTCAGAAGAAATAAAGGAAAATGAGGATAGGTAAACTTCTTGGATCTCTATTCTTTGTCTATTAGTAAAGAGAGTACTTGGAACTGTGACTTGCCTATACTTCTCATGAGAAGTGTTTTGCAAAAAGTTTTCTTAGCAAAAGATAAGATTATATAGCCTGGTATTTTGGGAGGAAGGTTGGCAAAACACTTAGCTGTGCCAAATAGTTCAAATAAAAATTTCCCAAGGCATCTCAAACATTCAAGTGATTATGTATGTTTGGATCAGTGAGCAAGAAGTCACCAGGTCTGGATTTATAAAATCAGAATACATTTGCACATGCTATATGCTACATGCTATATGCTATTTCAGCACTTGGGAGGCTGATTCAGGAAGATCAAATTCATAGAGAGACACTGCCTCAAAAGAAAATCTTTTTAGGTGAGGCATGCTGGTATAGCGTATAAAATCCCAGCTATTCAGGAGGTAGAGATGGGTATCACAGTTAAGGCTGGCCTGGGGCTGGGGGTGAATCATTGGAGAGCTTGTCTTGGATGTGGTGGCATGCCTGTAATCCAGCTAATTTGGGAGTCTGAGGCCAGCCCCAGGCAAAAGCACAAGACCCCATTAGGGTCTTTAAAGCAAACAGGCTCAGTGATAGACAGCTTTTGAGGCCTGAAGTTCAAGACCTAATACTCCAAATGAACAGAAGTAATTTTTTGACATTTGCAGAATAGACTAGACAGAGGTCAAGGGGTGTATATATATGTATTAATACATATTGAAATTGTAGAAAAAATTTAAAATGTTTTTGGCAAATAGGAAGGGCGCATGGATTATTAGGTAAATTGCATCCAACACTACTAATTTAAGATAGATACTATGTACAATGTTACTGAATATCTATAGTTTTATTTGGGGAATTGTAAAAATATAGTTTTTCAAAAGGTTTTTTTCTTCTAAGCACTATTGTTTCACGTGTTTTCTCAATAATGTTTATGCAGATGGGTATTCTAAGTTTCAGGTTGGTCAGAAACTTGATTTTTGTGTTCAGTCTGTTATGGGGAACTGCATTTGACCAGTACACTTTGCAGACCCTACAGCTTGAATTACAGGGGATGTGTGAAACCTAATATTGTTGGTGAGATTTTGTAACAAACTGTACTGGGGCTGGGGTGGGATATAGCTCATTGTTGCCATGAACAAGACCCTGGGCTTGATCCCCAGCACTCTAAAAACAAACAACTCTATAGAACTTGAAAACTGCTTAAAAACAACAACAACATGAAATAATTTTGAAATCCAACAGTGAGAATACACCAGGGATATATTATGGCTAAGAGAGCTTCAGTGCAGGCAAGTAGACCTAAAAAAAATTGAGCATGATTGCACTGATGTGTACTGGCTTGTAGTAGGTATTTAGTCACATGCAATGAAAACTGAAATTCACATAAAACATGTTGATGAAAGTATATTCATAGTTGCCCCCCAAATAAGTAATCCAGTATTTGTTAATGGATAAAACCAACTATAATATTCCACATAAACACTAATTGGCAATAAAATGTAAAAAATTAATTTATCTAACATGGTTGAATCTTAAGTGCATTTTTACTAAGATCATTGCTGGGACTGGGTGGAAGGCACATGAGGATTTATTGTTATTCTATTTTGTGTGTGTGTATGCTTAGAATTTTCCATAATAAAAATATTGAAAAGGCGTTTTAATGATATCACAATGTCTACATTCTGTACAGATGTGCCTAAAGTTCCATATTCCAAGCCAGAAATACTGCATCTCAAATATTCTACATCAAACTGCTAGTTAAATGAAGACCAAGTCTAGTAATGTAAGTAATTTGATTTTATTATCTTCAGATATACAACTAGAAAGCATTTTGAATGTTTCTAAGGTACAACTTTAAGAGGGAAAGGCTTCTTGATTTTAAGACTGTAATTTCCCAGGTCCCTAGACACATTGCAGAAATTTACCAGATCCTAGTAGTCAGACCTTGTAGTCGGAGCAGTAGGACAGAACATGATATAAATGAATACTTATCTGTCTGTGTTGGTCAATAGAAGGGTGTCTGTGAAAGAAGAGGGTTGTGAAAACTCTGTGTTCATACTTTGAGAGTATTTAACATTTGAGACTGGCAAATAATCAAATTCTCTTGAATCTAAGTACTCGGGGTTAATTCTTAAGATTATGCACATGCAGTTCTATTTGTCCCCACTAAAATACTACCCATGAGCTTTCCCCAGCTGTAATACATGCACATTGATATTTTAATACTTATCCTCCTCTCTCATAAAAAGACACACAGACAATTAAGAAGCTGGCCATCGGTTGCTCACACCTATAATCCTAACTACTCAGGAAGCTGAGATCTGAGGATCATGATTCAGAGTCATCTGGGGCAGAAAAATCTGTGAGACTCTTATCTCCAATAAACTACTAAAAAAATCAGAAGTGCAGCTGTGGCTCAAGTGGAAAGCACTAGCCTTGAACAAAAGAAGTCTAGGGACCATGTCCAAGCCTTGTCAATCCCTCCCCATAACAAAAATTATGAGGAATCAGTTGAGGGGTCTGGCTCACAGCAGAGCATATGCCAGGTACTGGGTTATAGAAAGTTTCTGCTCTGTTCTATGTATCTTGAGAGGGATTTGTGATAAATAGCTGTAGGCTTTATTTCAACTTGGAAATTTACACTTCAGATTTTTTATATTCTAGTGTATATAAATTTTACTTATGGAAGCGTTTCAACAAATATTTGGCTCTCATTAATGACATACATGCTGAATTATCTAGAGAGATGTCTACTGTCCATAATTTTCTGTTTTCGTGATACTTAAGTTTGAACTCAAGGCCTTGTGCTTGGGGCTGGGAAGGTGGGTCAGTGGTAGAGTGCTTGCCTTGCATGCCTGAGGCCTTGGGTTCGATTCCTCAGCACCACAAGCAAAAAGAAAAAAACCGGAAGTGGCACTGTGGCTCAAGTGGTAGAGCGCTAGCCTTGAGCTGAAGAGCTGAGGGACAGCGCCCAGGCCCAGAGTTCAGGCCCCACAA